TTTCAGTCTGCCTAATTTGTATTATTATCACTCTCTGTTTTTAATTCCTGGAGATACCGTCACAGCCTAGCCTCATGAAGCAGAACACAGCTATTCATTTAAAACAAATGGACACCTACAATATGCATGTGTTTGCCATATCTGTTACATCCTCAGCTATATTCATTTGAAGTTGGAACTAGGGATGTTAAATTTAGTTTAATCAACTAGTTGATGGAATTTCCATCGAATATCAATACGTGGGTGAGATGTAGCGGGGTTAGCTCCCAGGTCTTTTAAATGTAAAAGGCAGAGGCATAGCATCCAGGACTGGGCATGAGCCAGGAATCAGCTGATTCCCGTTTTGCACCTGGTCCCCCTGCCCGCTGCGGAGACGATGCTGGGGGGAACTGGCTTTTAAGCCAGCTTCTCCCAGCACCAGCTCCTGCTCCCCCACTCACTGCGTCTCTCTGATAGAGGCAGCAAGGGTGGGGGGGAGCGATTAGTTGACTATTGCTTCATTGATTATTTGTCTGGTCACTTACATCCCTAACTGGAACGTAGATTGAGATGTTATATTTTTAATATCCACTAAAGCAATGGTTCCCAAACTGTGGCACACACCCCCATTAAGAGAGACACAGAGGAACATGTGGGGAGTGCAGGGCCCAGATCAGCCTCTGCAACTGTCAGGGAGGAAGTGCCACCCAACCCCACTCTGGTCCTTGCTCCTGATGCTACCCCCCAGCCTAGACCCATGGCCACAGCCTTTGCCCTGGCCATGGTTCTGTTCCTGGCCCCAGATGCTCTCCTCTCCTCCCGCCCTCAGGAGCCCTGGCTCTAGCTCCTGGAGAAAGTGGGGAGGGTTGTTGGGGTAACCCCGAAAAGTTTGGGGACCACAGTGCTAAAGTGAACTCATGGAATGCTTGAGTAATATTCTTGTCACAGATCAGTAAATCTAACACCTTTTTTAAATGAATGTTGAGAAACTATGGAAACGTGAAATCTCTTGTTTAATATTTAAAAGTAATATAAGGAGATTTGGAAATCTTTCTTCTCTCCAGTCTTATATTTTTAATTAAGAATACTCATTGCCCATCCCATAAGTGTCCAGCCTTCTAGTTACTATTAGTACGTTGTTTTTAAGCGAGCCTGGGTACACACATTGTTTATATAATTTGGAAGCTACTACACCAGTGGTCCCCAACGCGGTGCCCGCGGGCGCCATGGCGCCCGCCGGGGCATTTATGTGCGCCTGCCAAGTGATCAGGGCCAGTCCTGCCATGGGCACGCGGCGCATGGGTGACCCCAGCCCCAAGTGCGTGGCGCATGGGCGGCCCCTGTCCCCGGTCGTGCAGCGCGTGCACGGCCCCTGCCCCAGGCGTGCTGTGCATGTGCTGTGCCGGCCCCGGGTGCGTGGCACGTGCACAGCCCTGCCCCATGGCGCCCGGCAGCCCCAAAAGTACTACACTGAGTTCAGATGGTCACAGATCTCTCAGCTAAGTAGGGTCAGGTTAGGCGATTACTTGGATGGAAGACAACCAGTGAACATCAGACGCTAAAGCTATAGGAAGTGGAATTGGTGATTCACCAAGTAGCATTATTCCTTCTGATTTGGTATTGAATCAGTGTCCCAGAAGGGTAAGAGGGACATTATGCTAGTATAGGTACCATGCTTCAAATAAGACGTAAAACTAAGAGTTTGACTACGTGGGGTCATTAGCTAGTCCATGGCAGCTTTTGTAAAACAGTGGATTTGAAAACCTAAGTGTCCCTCCTGGTTGAATTCCAGGTCAGCTAATTACAATCTACCCATCTACATTCCTCCTGTAGTTTTAATTGGTGGCAGTATAATAGTTTGAGAGGAGGTGAATACTATTGTGTAGAATTGCAGTTCATAGTTACAGATGAGCTAATTTGTATACAACCGTGCTGTTAAAGTTTCTAAATGGTTAGCATGGTTGAAGGACACATTTGAAATTTGTTAGTGTTTATTTTAAAACAAAATGCATGAAAATAATTTCCTATTTTTATTTACCTGCAAGGACCAGATCTCTGATTCTCCTGTTAGAACTGATGAGGTTACATCATACAGTGTATTACACAGCTCTCTGAGCTCTTGAAGGTGTTTGTTTTCCCTGCAAGAGCACATTCTCCTGAACTCAATATTTACACACACACAAGATTACCATTTACTTATGAAATATGTCTCTGTAATATAAGGCTACCCATGTGCTTTCTGGTTAATGATTAGAAATCACATGCCATGTACAATGTGCTAGTAGCAAGTATATCACAAAAGTTACCCACCCCCAAACCAAATGTGCTAATATGCCATTATTGGTTGCTTCTCTTTAGGTGCTGGGCCTTTCCCAAGGGAGTGTCAGTGACATGCTCTCCAGGCCAAAGCCATGGAGTAAATTGACACAAAAAGGCCGAGAACCATTTATTCGCATGCAGCTCTGGCTGAATGGCGAGCTGGGACAGTGTGTCCTGCCGGCACAAGGGCAGCAGCAAGGACAAGGTAATTAAAATTCCACTATGTTGTTTGCACTGAAGGAGAGGAATTATTTTTAAACTGCAGTAAGCGAGAGCTTTTTCTTACGTTCGCGCTGCCATTTGAGTAAGTAGAATTGCGCACCTCAGCTTCACAACCTGGTGTTAAGGGACTCACTGAGGTGTTACACAGAAGCATTAGTTTCTGCTTAATTTATAAGCAGGAGGCCAGTTAAGATGGTGGTATTTATGCATACATACAGTAAAACTCCAGTTGTCAGGCATCCAGTGGTCCGGCACTCCTGATAGTCCAGCACCACCTGGAACCCGGAAGTGCTCCAGGCAGCCAGAAAATTGGAACTGCTCTGCCCCGGGCTTCCCCGAGTCAGCCGCTGGTCAGTTTCAGCAGCGGCTGACTTGGGGATGCCTGGGGCAGAGCAGCTGGGGTGCTGGGAACATACAGTAAAACTCCAGTTGTCAGGCATCCAGTGGTCCGGCACTCCTGATAGTCCAGCACCACCTGGAACCCGGAAGTGCTCCAGGCAGCCAGAAAATTGGAACTGCTCTGCCCCGGGCTTCCCCGAGTCAGCCGCTGGTCAGTTTCAGCAGCGGCTGACTTGGGGATGCCTGGGGCAGAGCAGCTGGGGTGCTGGGA